TAAAGGCTGAGAACAGTGTCCAAGCTATCATGAGTGCAATAAGAGTTCTGACCTCCTGCCTGCATCTCTGCATGTTATCATGGCCTCTAAATTGCTTCCCCATGCTTGCATAACATGTATAGATATGTCTAGAGCCATCCTACTTTTTTTTAAAGCTCTATACAAGGTACAGGACCATTTGTTTCTGGTGCCCTTTTTCACTTTAAAGCTTATTTATTACATATTATAATATATACACCACAGGAAGACATGAGAGTTAAGATATACACCACAAAAGTATACTAGAACCTATTATAATACTTTCCCTGACAATTCTATGAGGGGGGAAGGAAGGGGAACAGGTGTAATAGCTTGCAGAAGCTGGTTTCCCACGCTCTGGTGCTTATTTCAAATCCGGGAGCGCTACCATATATATCCAAAAACTCGCTAGCTCCTGGCGAGTTTTTTGTGAATAACAGCCCAAATACTGCTTTGCTGAGCTGCTTACTAATGGAGAACTTGTTTGTACATGTGTTCTCCATGACATGATGCAAAAACATTCAATATGTGGTATGTTCAAAATATATCATATGTTTTGAGATGCTTTACCATATTGGGATGATGTTTTAGCTTAGTCATCTTTTCAATTAAGCGGTATATTACATATGCAGCCTATTTTCAAGCTCAGTTGATGGAAGTACCATATATAGCATGCCGAGAGGTGCCAGACAGGCTTTACAGGCCCTACGCAGTTGCTAGCTCAGTTACTAGTAGGTAATACATCGCACACTGTAGTAGTTACTACCACATGATTAATCAAACCTGGTCCATTGCCTTCATGGCTTGGGCCGGGCTCAGGCTCGGCTCAGGCTCAGGGCTCAGCTTGGCATCGCCACAAGCCCAAGCCCAGGCTTTGAGCCCAAGCCAGGCCCACACATCACTAACGACAAAGGTGTAGCCATGGTCGCGCACACGCAGGCGAGCTGGACATAGAGCTAGCGGTAGTGGTGGTTGAGCCAGCCACTGGGCACAGCGCTGACGCTGTCGAGCATGATGAGGTTCTTGTCCGCGAAAAGGCCGTTGAGGAGCAGGCCGATGATGCCGCCCATGGCATCCTCCGCGCCAAGGTCGAGTGCGTCGTCGATGTGGAGGTAGAACTTGACTGTGCAAGGGGGCGCCTGTCAGGATGAGCGGGGAAGAAGGAGAAGGAGAAGAAAGAGAGGGGTGCGCAAGTTTGGTGGCATAGTTTGACACCGCACCAACGATCGTCCCTGTGATGACGGAGGCCCAGAGGGGAACGTAGCCGGACATTGGCGTGGCAGCAACGAGGCCGGCGATGGTGCCCGAGCAGAAGCCAACCATGGACAGCTTGCACTCAACGCAATAGTCGAGGAAGCACCAGATGATGCCGCTGAACACTGCAGCGGGCATCGAGTTCCAGACGGCGAGCACGGCGCAGAGGTTTGTGCCAAGACCGACGAGCGAGATGTTGTGCGGCCGGAAGTTGAGCAGCTCGCGCTCGGTGTGGCAGCCAAGCACCCAGGAGTACGCCAAGCCCCGATTCCACTCCCAATTTCGATGGGTCTGCCACCTGGGTAAGAAGCGTTAAAATGCACGTTTGCATTGAGAAGAAAGAAGAAGAGAGCCGTAAAGTGCATGTGACCCGGACCTGCAGGGTGAAAGGTGCAGAAGTTCACTCATAGCCCTGAATGCGGGCAGCCATTGGGGCAGTTGCACAGGGTGGCGGGGCAGTTGCTGGGAGTAGTTGCTGGGGGCAGTCACTTGGGGAGTCGCTCAGGGTAGTCGCACAGGGTGGCGGAAGTTGCGGCAGTCGTTCAAGCAGTTGCCAGGAACAGTCGTTGTGGGACAAGCAGCCTTTGCGGCCGTTGTGGGTCGTGTTGTGGGTTGAACAGTCGCTGCAGGCAGTTAGAAGTCACTAGTCACCGGTGGGCAGTGTGGGTTGAGGTTGAAAAACGGTCGTTGCGCTGTGTTGTGTTGCATTGATCATCTACACTATGTCTGTATGGGGTCTGCTTTGTTGAGCCCATCAGGACCCCAGCCAGTGCAGAGCTCCCAAGTGCACTGACATCATCGGTTGACAGCCTCGCCATGAACTTCATCTCAACTGTCATGTCATCAGACAATGAAGCTGAGGACCACTGGTCCCTCTTGCCAGCCTCAGTCAAAGATCCAAACATTGTCTGCCTTGGAGCCTGCAAGGTTTTGAGGCCCAAGGGTTTTTTGAGGAAGAAGAAGTCGCCTACAGCATCCATGTCACCTATGGCACCCCACCACCACCGGGCAGGAAGGGAAGGTGCAGCCTACTCAGGTGTGGTTGCTTACA